AGTTTACAAAATATAATGTATTTAAATCGCAAATTCTTGACACATGCAAGACCTTCATTGCGGCCAGCGGCCACCCCAGCAATGTAGCTGCTACATTACATAGCTTATCGATGGTGAAAGTGCAAAATTGCGTATCTAGGAAAACAATTTTCCAGAGGAGTAAAAAAACTGTCAATATTCCTCTTTATTGTTAGTAGAAGGGTAATTATTCTTGCGGATAGCAAGAATAATGCATTCTTGCATATTTTTTTAGACTCTATCAGAATTTTAAATAATTTTTCAAACTGTCAGAAAATACGGCAGAAATGCCGAGATTCGCATTTGCGGCACTAAGAATTGACAGTTCATCACGAGATACGCATATTTGCAATGGACCACTAGACAAGGCACGAATTCAAGCATTCTGTTACATGTTTCTTAATCAGAATTTTACGTAAAACACAATTCGCGCAACGAAAATTACTGAAACTAACTCCTGACGAAGATATTAACCTTTTTATTTCACATTGGTTACGTGGATTTTGAACTGCCCGCTCACAAGAAACTCAAAGCTCTACGTGAGTCAAAGCGCGTACTACAACAGTTTCAGCAAGCCTCTCAATCGAGCACTGTTCATTTCCCACCATGTGTTGTTCAAATGATAAGCAATTTGCTACAGCTGAGCCAAAGCGTCAAAATTGTGGTTGCCAGATTTTCATATCGCAGAGACTGTCACGATAATATTCAACGCGCGATGTGAATCACGTAGAGCATTGAGTTTTATTGAGCGGGTGGTTTGAATTCACGCATCAGGAATCATTAAATATCTTCGTAAGGAAATGATTTCGGTAAATTTTATTGTGCGCATCGTGTTCTACGTGAAATTTTGGTTAAAAAACATGTATCAGAATGCTTAAATTCATACCTTGTCTAGTGGTCCATTAGTATTTTAAACCTGATATTGGCGGTTTTGGATCATTTAAAGACTGAATAAAGAGTTTCACGCTCAAAATTCCCTATCAGATAAGATTTGGTTTGATCTTACCTGGCCCGATCTAGCATTGTATGGTTGGAAAATGACATCGAGCACACCCCCATCTTTCCCACCTGCACATATAGTTATGTTTTACAAAAATACGTCCATTTAATCTGTGTTTAAAATTCTGTTTGATATCTCGTTCAAGAGTTAATTTTTAAAATTCTCGTCGTGCGAGTTATAATCTGTGTAAACTTTTCAAGAGAAGACATGTGACGTTTTCTTCTGCTGCAGACCTCATCTAGTGGCCCATTGTATTTTTGGCGGATCGAGTTTATAATGAGATGCTCATGAATATTGTTATATTGGCTTTTAGCGGAGAATTTCTCAATTTCTCGTAGAAAAAGGCAACTTTGCCCGGTTGACTTGTCAAACGGCGGGCGACTAGGTTGGAGTGATCGAGTTATCAATGTGCGGCCGGAGCCGGGGGCGGTATCCAGGGTTTTGAAACTTCCGACATCACCGTCAACTTCCCCGTTACCGGACTGAATTATTTATTCTGGAACTTGTCAAAAATTTACATAATTCCGACGACGCCGTGCTCTAAAGTGAGGTGAAAGATGCACAGCGTATCTTCTCGTCTCGATTGAATTCCGCTCCCTTCTCGGTCTGACCATCGTAATGAATTTAACCTTCTTTCTACTCAGTTTACACAATAATTTGACTCCTCCAGAGGATTTGCAACTGCATAACTTGGACCAGCTCGCTTTCCAAATGCGAATCATCAAGAATTAGTATCGCGTGAATAAAAAATCTGGAAAAAATAGCTCATTACGGACTGTCTTAGGGACCTGAGCGCACAAAGACTCAACATTCAATAATTTATCCCACGGTTTTCAACCAACAAAAATTACTGATTCACAATTTATGGAACTAGAAGTTTTCACTTTTATACTGGATAACATTATTCCGTGAAATTGTTCAAAATTTTTTGTGCCAGTGAAATGACATGTTTAACATTTTGGCTCACCTTTTCCGTCTTTCTTACCGCAATTTTTTGAAAACTGAACATCAAAGCATTATAATTGTAGTTTAGATACTTCTAGATTTTATCCATAATGACATGCAAATTAACGCGAAATGAATTATTGCGCATAGTACTTTCCCAGAATGTTCTTTTTTTTTTCCTACAAGTAAGATGAATTTTACTATTTCAGTTATGTCGGTCGGATTATTTTAATGGAATTGTGCAAATTTTAAGAGGATCCCGATTTTACATTTAGGCGTTACCGATCTCTTCAGTAACACACCTTCAGGGTCCTTTTTATACCGCGGATGCTAACATATCGTCATTTTCCGGACGATGAAACTTAATTCCGTTCCAAGGTTGCAAGATTGATGTACTCAGTTTAAAGTTTCTGCAGGAATGTGCCCGTTCAATTTTCCCCCAAAAGATTTCTGATTTTTGCACATCACAAAAAAAATCAGGGAAAATTTCAAATAGAAATATTTAAGATTCAGAAGGTAAAAATGCAATTAGCGAGGGGAAATTCGGCAACATTAAAATGCAGATACGTTCTTTCGTGAGGGTAAAGATGAAATAACCAAATACTGCTCACTCTCAACAGTCGCCATCGTCATATCGAACATTAGCTTCAATTGGTGATAAAAAGAATTCAGGGTTGACACAGACAGACTTTATAAAATGAAATTCCCTGATTTCCCCGCCGAATTTTGGTAATATTCCTTCACATTTATTGGAAATTGGAGGAGAGTTTGGGAACACGGATGTGTAGTTGCGTTTTTCTGTAGGAAATTGAAGATACGATAATATTTCCTTATTTATTCAGAGATCCATCCCAGTTGGACTGAAAAACTAAGCATTTCCGTAAATTTCCCTCCGTGGATATTGAGTAAAACACGGCAGGCGGCTTACTTTTTAGAATAAAATTTCCTGATTTCCCCGACGAATTTTGGTGAAATTCCCAGACATTCATTTGAAAATTGAAAAATTTGATAACATGGAAGCGCAGTTACGTTTTTTGTAGGGAAGTGAAGATACGAGAGAATTTTCTCATTTATACAGAGATCCATCCCAGTTGGGATAAAAAAAACTAAGGCTGTCGGGAAATTTCCCTCCGCGGATGTCGGGTAACCCAGGAGGCGGCGGCGGCCGAGCATTTTTCCCGGCGAAGCTAATGCTATTAACCGCGGAGCGACGTCACTGACTTCACTGACATCCGTAATTTAAGTCGAGAATCAATCAGCCCTGCCCGGGCCGGGCCGGCTATTAAATATTGAGGATATTTTCTCTCTGGGCTTCTCGTAAAATTAGACTCGATCCTCGAATGCCCCATCCGCGCTTTCGCCTCACCCGCCAGGGAAACACACAAAGCAGCGGCCCCGGAATTCCTTCAGGAGCAGCAATAATCACTTTAGCCCTCTTCCGGGTTCCAGCGGACTCGCGTACTTCGCCAAATATCCATTGATCTGCCATTTGAACCTATGGAAAAGGATCGATAAACAGGATGCTCCCAACCAACACTTTAATAATCGATTACTTAGCACAGGTTTAAATGGGGAAATATCGATAGTCGATCATTCACGCCTCGCGCTCCGAGGCCGCGGATCCGGGACGGCGATCCGACTCAAGCGAGGACCTGAATGTTGCATTTTTTCGATTCCGAGTGAGACTGTGGAAAACTGACGTGAAGTCGGTCCAAAGTTGCCGGATTGTGCGATGAAATGCAAATAGTTTACATGGGTTTAAATGGAGGAGAGTGCCGAAATGTCAGCACTACCTAGGAACTATGAGTCGGTTACTACACGGCCGAGGAAAAGCTAAATAGGGAATAAAGCTGTTGTATTCAGCGCAAGGAGAAAAAAACAGGTTGATGCTTAGGATCCTATTTTTGGTCGCTCCTTAACCGTTCTATAACCCTTCCTTAACCATTCCCGTCGTTTTCCGGACGAAAGAATGTAACTTCATTCCAAAGTCGCAAAATTGACCCTAGTAGTTTACTTTGCTATGGGAATATATGACGGTGCTATTCCTATCTGAAATTTTATTAATTTTTCAGGGTTATCAGAGTAAAAGTCAGTGAAATTTTCAGGCTGGAATTTCCAATAGTTTCTAATTAAAAACAATTTGCGTGTGAAAATTTCGCAACGTTGAAATTTAGTTACGTCCCTTCGTCCGGGAATTGACGAGATGTGTAAGACTTTTTCATACGTAAAGTCTTAAGTCGCATTAGATTGGCCCGCTTTAAATGCATTGATATGATAATTTTTTAGTATTATCTGTGTTATTTCTATGTTTTGGTAAGTAGATAGGAAATGATTTTCGAAAAAGTTTAACTTTCTTGGTAACATACTCGCGCTTTCTCTCCCTCCCCCTTCCTCGTGCGCCTCGAGTAACTTCCCAGAAGAGATAGTTAACCCAGCTTGGAATTTTTAGAGGTTGTAAAAAATTACCTTACAGGACACAACTCCCGCCGTACCAATTTTTAGACCTGCACCATTTAGGGCACTCGAGAGATCACTAAACATGTTTTTACCTGTTTTTTTTTTCAAAATTGTCATTAATTTAGACACATTCTAGCATATTTTTTTGCAAACTTAACCTTAGCTTTCCTCAAATTTAAAAAAAAAGATACACCTTAATGCGAGTTAATGACGGCGCTGTTTTAATACGTAACCCTTGAAGCACCGTCATAAAAAAAAGACAAACGGAAACGACACAACATGGATATAGAGCTAGGAATGGACATGCGTTGATGACGGCGCAGAGATATAACTATTCGTGCTTGATGGATGTCCGTTTTGCATCTGCAAAATTGAAGGCGCGATGGCGTGAAGCGTGAGCTCACGGTGCGGTGCTTCTCCGTATGCTGCCAATGAGGTGTTGCTCAGTTTCAGTAATTCAGCAGAAAAGGTGAAAAACGAGGCTGGATCACGTCTTCTTTATCTTCAGGGGCAAGGAAAGGGGGAGGATTTAATCAATATTTTTGATTTTAATGTTTCTGAATATTTAATTTTGTTTCAGGAGTTGGAGGTTTAAAGGACATCAGAGTGGAAGTTCCTCAATACAGAGTCCGAGGCGAAGACGCGGTTCTGAAATGCCACTACGATTTGGAGAATGACTCTCTATATGCGGTCAAGTGGTACAAGGAAAACGAAGAATTTTACAGATTTGTCCAGAGAGCCCACCCTCAAATCACCTCTTACCGCGTCGAAGGAATCAAAATTGACGTAAGTCCCGCTCTTGAAATCACACATTATTCATTAATACACCTTCAGGAGCTAAAAAAGCGGTAGGCTCCTTTGTAAAAGCACAAATATGATTGGGTTTACCCTTTGATTAAGGGAAACATTTCCTTACCTAATTATTTAAAGAGAATCGATTCTGTGCAGGGTGAACCAAAAGCTCTGTACCACCAGCACCCATTTCCCCTAATTTCATCCATCGTGACTTTTGAACCGATTGAGATAGAGACTTGAAATTCGGTGGGTGCTCTTAGGTCAAAAGGGACGCCTTCAGGGACACTCAAAATTTGAAGAGGGTTATCTCGAAAGGGGTAAGAACCCTGAGGGAGCTGTACGGGTGATGCAGGACTTCTAGATCAACCTGTACAGCCACTCCTTCACGTACAAACTGAAGACTTCGAAGAAGCACATCAGTGTACCTGTTGACTGTTGCCTTTCAAAGATTGCCGGCCCGGGGATTTTTGAAGGCAACAAACGTGTTTTGCATACATCATTGATCGAATCTTGAGATTTTCAAATCATATCCTGCAAAACTGGCTGAGAAATCAATAATTAAAGCCAGTTTGAAAGCTTAGCTTGTACGAGGCGACCCCTATCAAATGTTATCAGATCATGCTTGGATTGCGTTTTCCAAAAAGGGCCCAAGAGCATTCTAATGTTGCTAGGATTGTGTAACTTACATTTTCCCCAAAGAATTACTGAAATCATGAAAACAATTAAATTTACAAAGATAATTTTGCCTTGATTTCATAGTTTATTGGCAGTTAAGATTCAATTTGTTTAGATGATCTGTTCATATTTGCAAGATGAAAAAAGTTGCAAAATCCTAGCGACGTTGGAATGTTCCTGGTTCCTTTTTGCAAAATGCGATCCATTTACAGTCACTCTTTGAAAAGCTTTGTTGCTTGAGGAGACTCATATTGTGATTAATGGAGGTCAAAGGAGGTCCTCAACACTCATTCGAAAAAAGAACAGTTTTGACCAACCTCCAGGCAATTTAACAGAATTCCCTTGAGAATAGATCCCGCAGAAAATTCCAACGATTTTCTACTAGAAATACTAAAAAATACCGACGAAGAAACATGAGTTTGTTTTTAGGGTTTCAAAATTGTCCAAAGTTACATTTAAAAAAATTTTCAACTGATGGAACTTTCTTCGAAGCGTCAATTTTTTTTTATATTCGATGAAAAATCATCTTTATCGGTCCCTTGCAAAGATTAATTTCATTCAAATGTTGAGAAATCCATCTTGCAATTCTTCTCATTGAAATTTGGGCTAATTATTGAAAGTGAAAAAACGAAGCTATAGACAAAACAGACATAAGGCAGTAAGCAGCGATCCCATCCCTGGTAAAAATTGACGATAAGAGCTGCGTTTCAAAATACCATAGGAATTCTTATAGCCGGCTAAAGAAGGCTACAGAAAATCATATAGCTGGCTGTAGTATGCGGAGAAAATCATACGGCCGGGTTATACGAAGCGATAACAATTTATGCAGCCGGGCTATAGTTCCTATCGCCGGGCTTTACACTTTATCGCCTGGCTGTTGCTTTTTCGTCATCGATTATAAAAGGCTATAAGAAATTGTGTAGAAATTCGTGTGCTATGGAAATCATTAAGTTTGATACGGAACCACCTCAATATTTACAAAACACACATTATATTTTCCTTTACTACATATTTTTTTTCATCAATTAAAATGAGAATAATCCATTCAGGATGTGCAAATATTTCAAAATCACGAGTTGAATAACGCTGACTCCGCCAGATTAAATATTAGAGCCTAACACAAAGCGGAGCGATGACGCACTGGCGCCTACAAACCTAACAGGGATACTTCACGCATTGCGCAACGCGTGAAGTATCCCTGTTAGGTTTGTAGGCGCCAATGCGCGTTTCGCGCTGGCTGCCCGCCTGCCGCGCCGCAGCGTGCCACGGCGCTTGAAGCAACTATTTCACACCAGAGGTATTGCACAGTGTCATACGAAACTGAAGGCGCTCTAATATATTAGGAATGGCAGGCATCCATCAAAAGTACGGAGCTTTCCTCGCAAAATAAATCAAGATACTACGGAACAAAAAGAGAGCAGTATTCCAAAAACTCACTAAGTCCTAGCATCCGTAATTAGTAAAGTTTAGCATACACCTTATCGCCTGGTTGTTGCTCAATCGCCATCGGCTTTAAAAGGCTATAAGAAATTGTGTAACCGGCTATAGAAGCTATTGGAGATCTTACAGCCGGCTGTAGGTCTATGGTATTTTGGAACACAGATTCTACTGCCAATTTTTACGAGGGATTGGTTGAAACAGACTAAGACTAAGGAGACTAAGAAGACTCTTATCGACTAAGAAGGAAAATGATGGACTAACTGTAGGGTCTCCTGTCGGTTGCCGTTAGTTTATCTATTAGTTGTCTCTTTTGTCCGCCCAATTTTTCCTCTATCTTTTATGTCTACCACTTTGTACATCAATTTTAAAAATCAGCCCGCTGATTCGATAATGAATTCTATTTGCAATTTCTACTGTCGCGATAATCACCTGTATGTGCCACTTTAAGAATAGGAACTGTTCAAGGAGCGGCTATAGCTAATAATGCAACTCACAACGTTTTTTGTTGTTTTTTTTATGGTGATAGTTGGAGCTGTCAAACAGCACGCAAGTAACATTACGTCAAGTGACCTTGAAAACAATAGGCAAATACCGATGCGAAGTCTCGGCTGAAGCACCATCCTTTGAATCCAAACAAGGAGAGGGACGACTTGAAGTCATCTGTAAGTAACCCTTTATAATACCATATGAAAAAGATAAAATAATTAATACAATGTAATAAAATTAAAACAAATCAATCTAAACTGATTACAAATTAAGTGAATTTAATGAATTACAACTTGATTTCATTCGGTCGAAAATGGTGTTGTTAAACTTGGAATAAAATGGATTGTCGACTTATCAATCAAATTGTTATAAATTATGTCCGACATGTTTCAAATGTAAATTTTACAGTAGTAGAAAGCTAATTTTACGACGGGGGTGGTTAAATTATATTGTAAAACTACACTGAAACATGTCGGACACGTTTTAACTACAAAATTGTTAAATCAGCATTACCATTATATTCCGTGAAGGACCCTGCAACGTCCCGGCTTTTTAAATATCTGGATCTTCTAACTTAGGTACCAGGTACCTGGTACCTCTCATACGTGCGTTTTAATCTTCTCCTCATCGTGTGTATCATTACTATGAGCTCTCTGACCCACAAAATTTTCTTATTTTGTCTTTCGTTGTATCGTTTTCTTGGGCCAATTTCTATGATTTTTGCAAATTTCAACAAGTGATAGTCTTTAAATGAATCCACTCTGTTCAGATTTCGTACGTATGACCTGGAATTTTTTCACATTACGTGGCAAAGTTGTGAATTCTCCCCCTTAAACAATGTAAATGTTGATTTTTTTTCACAGTCCGTGCTATTTATCTTATCGGCGATTTTCATGATTTTTGCGATTTTCAATAGGAGAATCCTCAGTGAAGCTCGCTCTATTCAGACTAACTCACTTGAGCCCGCGAAGCGGGCTTTCTAGAGCTCGGATCGCTCTCTAAGGGTTCGGCTGCTTAGCGGCCAGGGGGTGTAGCCTCCTAGTAATGACATTTTCACTTTGAATAGTCTGATTTACATTACCGCGCAATATCTGTGAAAATATATAATTTTCACATGAGAACTGGCAAGAGCGGAGGAGTCGACGAAGCAACTAGGGTTAAGTCAGTGTTGTGAGGTTCATTTTATCGGCGAGAAGAGTTATTTGTCTACGGTGCAACTTGAGGTTGAGGTCGGCCTCGGGAGTTGGGCTCGGCTGCAAAAGAGTTGCGGGCATAGTTAACGAGCGGATCCGTCGTGCACTTTGCGTTCCTGTCAAATTGAAGGGGCGATCGCACGAGACCTCCCTCGGCCAAACGTCACCGCGTCGAGATCGGCAACAACGAAGGGACACCGGTCAGCTTGTGAGGCAGCTTTTGGATGTAGTCTATTCGGCAGCATTGTCAAATTTGAAAGTTAATTGCCCCTGATTTTGTTGTCGCCGCAAATATCCCTCCAACCCCTAAAAAATATTTCCAAGTATTAAAAAAAAAATAAAAATAAATAAATGAAAAAAAAAAAACATGAATGCAAGTCATCACCTTCCGGCCCAAGTATCAAAGACGCCTTGCGACGTTTCAAAATTTCCACTGCCATTTTATTTTTTGTAGATAAATTGTTCAACAAAGCTGTCCGAAAATTTTATTGAATTTTCTTTGTGCTACCGATGAAATTCGGTGAAATTTTCAAGCAGATTCAACAGACAATTTCTCTGTAAAAAAATAAAATGGCGGCGGAAATTTTGAAACGTCGCATGGCGCTTGTGATACTTTGACCGGAAGGTTACGAAGTAGTTCTGTGATTATAGCCCTCGGTGAATGCGAATGGTTGGTGAAAGTCTCATAGAAATGAAAAAAGGGTGATTTGAAACTAAACTTTTTCCTAGATTAATTTTGAAAAGAAGTGACCGGATTAAATCATTTAGAGCTCCTGAAAAAATTCTAAAGCCCCAATTCTCCCTTCCAAATTTCTTTCCCAATCCTTTAAAACTTTCCCTTAATGACAAAAAAATATCCCGTGACTGCTAAAGCCGCTTATCAATTAAAGCATTTCAGAAATAAAGGCAGGAGCTAAATGATGATTTTCGGTGAATGAGACCGGGACTTTGGATCGAAACATGTTACGTACATCCTTTAGAGTAATTTTATTTTAGTGTATATGGACTATATATTTAAACGGTACTAAATAACCGTCGGCTTAGTAAACCTTGGTTTTATGGTTGTGTCTTGAAACGTTTCAGTAAATTTTCAGGAGGACTTTTTTTCTTCCTCTTTTTCTCCCTCTCCCCCTTTGTTTAGCCCGGGGAGAGGGTGCCTTGCCACACACAGGCGCAAGCCCAGCCCCCCCCCCCCCCNCCACTGGATCTGCCACTGCTTTGGCATCTCAGGGTTAATAAAAATAGTTCATTGCTCATATTTTATTCCGGACAATTAAAAAAGCACCAGACAACACGGCACACATCCAGCGCTGCTTTTTTTGTCCCCGCCATGGCGTTCGTGCACGATGCACGTTGCAAGCGGCATCAAATAATAAACCAGCAGAATTACGAGCATGCAAATGTAAAAATACCCCCGCCCCTCCGCTTTTCATTGCCAATGCGCTTGGCTACGTAACACCTATCTTCCCGCTGCACCGGAATAAAGACGTAACCGCATTCCTAGAAGAGCCTCGCCGTCCGTATGACCCCATGCTCTGCGAGGCTCACGTGGGAACGATGTTAAGCGATTATATCAGCGAAGCGAAGATTTTTATCCCTCTTCTGTTCCTCGCGACAGGTATAAGTACGCACTGGGTTTTGTGTTGGTTTCCGGCTGTTGAGTAATTCCATTGGCTCGACTATCATCTGCCTATACTCTCGTTGGAGTGGGGGGTGTGCATTTTGTTTTAAATCTGCGAACCGGATAGGGAAAGGGTAAAAAGTGATCTGTTGCTGATGCAGGACAATGGAGTGGTGCGGAACCACCTTTTTTCTCTTTTTTCCTATTTTATTTTCTGGATCCGAATGTACTTGAAAACTAAACCACAGAAGCTAATTCTGCCATGCTAAGAAAACGTCGTATGAGCGTGGGGACGTTGCCAAATTGCTGTCGATAAAATATTTATTTTTGAGGAATGTTGTGGATATTTTTTCGTGTAATATTTACGTAATTTAGATTAAATCGTGATTTGAAGTCTGCGAAGAATTATAAGAGGAAAATCTTCTCAAATTCCCCTGAAAATTCATGACTTGTGAGAAGAAATTTGGCGAAATTGGATGGTTTATATGTCGTTCTTTCTTAGCGTGACAGAGCTCAAGGTACATAGACGACTCATTGTCAAATGAAATGTTCGATCCTGCGAATTGGGCTCGAAGCAGAACATGCAACGTCTACAAACTGAAAATAAAGCCACAGAAATAAAAAAAGATTGGTGGTGTTCACTCATTTGCAACTGTTAAATTATAAGTGTGCGTTGCTGACAAATTGTGCATGCTTTCACCGGGACAGTTTTGATTTTTCTTTTTTTTTTTTGGTTGGGGAAGATTAATCGGATTATCAATGTCTTTAAAATTGTCCCCTAGACAAATTTTTTTCCATTAAACTTCAAGAAAGGTTATAAAAAAAGGAATTTTGATTTTGTCGTTTATTTAAACAAAACAGCTTTGTACACGTGTTATAAAATAATTGACTTAACACTCATTAAAGCTTCGTATCTTTATTTTCAAATCATCACATTTGCAACAAAATACCAATCTGCAATTGAATTTTGCAATCTGCGAGCGGATTTTTCACAGTTGTATACAGATTGGACCATTTTAGAATTTTTCCTTATTTAGTTCATAGGTGAATAGCTCTTTTAGCATAACTTCTGTATTATTCTAATTATTCTAAGCATTTTACAAAACTTCTGAACTGACCGATTGTCTGCGGCATGTGCATCCATAACTCATTGCGTAAAAATCTTATACTTCCAATCTTCGATGAAACTTACTAAATTTTGCAACAGGGAAGTGATATGTTTCGCTCATTGTAGTAACAACATATATGCCACTTATCTCTTATGGAATACAGCGATCTTTGAATGAACCACAGATGGCTGTTCGCCTGCATGCAACTCTTCGTGCTCCATTGTTGCCGTCATTGCAGATACAGACATTTGAAGGCGCGACGATGGTCCGGCATCCACAAAAAAGTGCGCGACCTGATATTTTGCTCTAAGAAACAGGACAGTCATGTAACTCGCCGAGGCAACGCACAACATGTGCCTCTCTCTCTCTAAAAAAAAAAAAAATAAAAAATAAAAATAAAAAAATAAAACAATTTCATGGCTTCCAGGACTTTATGCCCACCTACCTTTCGTCCATTTAATAAATGTCCACCGCTATTTATGTCCACTAAACGTTAAGTCCACATGATTTAATGTCCAACCATGAATATGTCCAAAATTGTCCAAATTGTGGACATGTTATGTCCACATTTTTTTCTTCTCATTCAAATGACAGGAACCACCTCAAAAATAAATGTATACTACTACTAGTTAGTTAGTTAGTATATTTTAAGACGTTCAACGTCACAGCTTATTAACGTCTTCACAGAGAATTTTGAAAATTGGAGTATATACGAAAATTTAGATTTTTAAATTAAGAGAGGTGAAGAGTTCCTGTGCGCGCAGGCACGTAATTTCAAGCGCGCAGGACGGAGAGCAGCACCGGGTTGTAAGGCCGGCGATGGAAGCTCATCCGAGCGCTTGAGTGGACTGGATCAGGCGGTGGGCGCCTGATAGGCAGGCAATCCGCGACAGTGGGCGCGGCGTCTTCAGTTTGTGCGCTTGAAGCGCGGTGAAGACCCCCAAGGGATACCCCCAGGGCTTGCCTAAGCGAATCGCTCGGACGGATATCGCGATGAGGCGATTGCGGGTTGCTCCGTGCAGCGCTGTAAGCGGCCAGGCACGGGAGCCACTGTGGAGTCAACGGCGTTGGGAGCTGGACTGAGAAGTCAACAGCGTTGGGAGCCGGACTGAGAAGTCGACAGCGTAAGAAGCTGGACTGGGAAGTCGACGGCGTTAGGAGCCGGACTGAGAAGTCGACAGCGTAGGAAGCTGGACTGGGAAGTCGACGGCGTTAGAAGCCGGACTGAAAGTCGACGGCGTTAGAAGCCGGAC